TTTATTTGCCGTTGTTTATAATAAATTTAATGAAAATCGTTACTTTGTAAATACACTACGCGTTTTACGCGAAACGAGAATCGAAAGATTATTTCTGCCTCAAGCTTAACAAGAACTGATCGGAAATTAGTTTACTCTCGAAATTACTCTCTTAACGCGAGAATTGATTCGCGCGATTGTTTTGCATTCCGTCTCTCATCTTTTATGTATTTTATTCGACTTTCTTGTACTATCAGATTCCACTCTTTATTCCCTATCCCCTCTCATATGCTGACGCGTCTCAGACATTAGCCGGCGTTCTCCGGTATACCTCTCCCTCTCTCATCTTTCGCTCTTTCCTTCACGCCAGCCTTTCCACCATCGTGCCCAAGCTCCGAGCAAGCTTTTGTTGAGCTTTTGATGGAGAGATTCCGCGCTTTGCCACGCTTGTCTGGAGCTTCCTCTTTGTCCTTTATTTTTCCCTCTTGCTCGGGGCTCCGATAGCGGCGTTCTGGTCCCAATTTCTCACGATCGAAAGGTTCACGAGCTACTCAGCAGATTTCACGGAAAAAATGTCTAGGAATGATTTCGATAATAGCGACAAAGTGGAGATATATGGAGACGATTTACGGATATTATCGGCATTTCCGAGATTTCCTCTTTCGCATTATTCGGCAACGTTTCACTCCCCCCCTTTATCGATACACGTATCAACTCGGCAGACTCAAATCACGGTCATCTGTTATCCATTTCCGATATCCATCGAGAGCGAGACTTGTATGGCGAATTGTAAGCCACAAATACATAAGTAACTGATATAAAAAATAATTTTATTAATAAGAGCACTTATTTTTATCCTTGTAATTTATACTCAAATACCGCTGTATAATTTCAAAATGTCAGGAATATATTATTTACGGGATTATTTTAGGACAAAATATTTGTAAAAAATTAAATCTGTATAGAGATCTGTAAAATATACGAATTTTACACGCATTGTTAGACGTTACGTCAGAATCTCTATTTACTATATATCCTACGCGCAAATCTCTGCTTATAATCATTTTTATCAACAAAAAGTTAGGATTGAACAAAGCGTACGAAGATACTGCCAACTTTGCTTCAATGTAACATTAAATGAGAGGAAGTAGATTTTTTTAGGTATAATCGAAGAACACTGGTCGCCTTGGCATCAATTTTTTCAAAATAAAAATTGAAACGCCACGTCTTTCACTTTATTGCATCGTGATTTTTACACAAGTTCTCGTGATTTCTTTTTTTATAAATTCGCGATCTACCGGTGGCACGCGCGATCGATAACCGAATGTACACGGAAGCTGTATCATCTTGTATTATGGTTTTTATTCATCGAGAAATAGAGACGATTCGTTCGCCAACAATGTCCTAACTACAATGTAACGAAGCACTCGACTTCTGCTTCTATTTCAATCTATCTCAACATACTTTTGAGGATTGAACGAAAGATTTCTTCTTTCTTAGTCTAACAAAAAGCCACGAAAATCAAATTTATTGCGAAAAAAGTAGCTTTGAGCATTATATCGTGAAAGTACTAAATGCTAAATTAAAAACTTGCTTTTTCCAAACGACGTGAGAATATAAGAATTTATCTTTGAAATATTTATCGGGAAAGGGGACAGGGTGCGATTTAATTGTCCAGATTTTAAAATCTGAAGCAAAAAAGAGTGAATTTACAAGTTTCTAAGATTTTTGTTTAATACAATTTAAAGTAGTTCCCGAATCCACGTATTTTTTTTATCCCTTGTTGAACTCTTCACGCAGGCCTGGGAGAAGAAAAAGCCACAAACGAGGCCCAACAACGGGTATGCGAGAGAACGCGTCGAGAGTGAGAAATAAAAGCATTCGCGTAAACAGCGCGCCGGGTCATGAATTACTTAAGAATATGGGTTCACCGTTGGATCCGCGAATTTACAACCGCGGCTCCTCGCCAAGCGAGAGGGCAGCCGAGTGGCCGCGCGCGACGTTTCCTACGTTCGTACGTCCGCCGGTTGCATTGTTTTAATAAAGCCAGTAAACATATTTTATTTCTTGTAATGCTGTTTACGTCTCGTAAAATGGTTAAGCTTCTCGCCGGGCTCGGACGCCGGTAAAGAATTGTCCTTAAATCGAGAGGAAAACGCGCGCGCGGAAAATACTGCGCGATGCAACATTAACTATGTCTCGGGAAAAGTTTGCACGATTTCATAAACTGCCAAGTACCTTCCGTTATAGCTACAGAAGTGTGTCGATAAATGTAGAGAAGTATTTTTTCTCGCGTTTTGTTTCGTGTAATTTAATGTATTACCGTGAACAATTTTAATGAGTGAGGATAGAAAAAAAAATAACTGTCATATAAATACATATTATAAATGTAATTTACAAGATCTCTTTGACGCCAAATATTTAATTAATACAATCTAATTTTATCACTATTTTATTCTATTTGTTTTTATCCTCACCAGTATAGAAACCCTAATATTCCTTTGTGTCATTTTTATTATTTGTCACTTGGTCTATAATCTCACGACAAATTTTAGAAATAGTCGCAAAACGATGCTATTGTGGATAACAATACAATAATATAATCGACATGGGAAAGTACAGTGGAGTTTCGTGTACAACCGGATGAAACAACTGACTGCGCTATCAACGTGCCACGTCGAGTCTGACAAAGGCCGTCTGGCGTCCAGTTGCCTCCTGGGGCCAGAAAAGCTATGATCCACAAATTTCATTAACACCTACCATCCGAGATAACGTTGTCCATAATTTTGTAGTCGGATCCACGTTAAATGCACACCACCGCCATGTCGCACGAATATTTGAAACCATCGCGGAAAACCCTCGGCGATGAAATTACCGATGATGTTTCTATACTATGTCTCACAATCGGACACATTCGATAACCGATTCTGTATATTCCAGCCGTTTAATCCCTTTTATAGCTTAACGTTTTATTAACTCTCGCAACAGCTTAACGAACGAATTTTGCCGCTGATTTTCACCCGAATTCTGTAAAATCACGGTGATAAATTAATTCCGTGAAATTACGAGAATTACACTGTTCATAAAAAGCGTGATCAAATGTCGATGATGTAGTATGAAACTGCGTTATACACAATTTGTAAATGAGTGTAATAAAGGGGAAAAAAATATCGTCGAAATTATTCTGCGTTTTAGATTTTAAATATAAACGCAACTCTTCGTTCTGTACAATACATCTCGCTTTCCTCACGCGACAAAATTTCAAGTCTTTTTTTTTGGGGGGGGGGGGGGGGGACAAAAATTTACGTTGGAGAATTTGAAAGAACATTCGCAGATCGTCAATCTCATGGCCACTAATTCCTGATGTTTACGATTCTGTGTGCCGAGTGCCGACCAACCCCGACGGCCAGAGACCGTCAATGACTCTCCATTTTCATGATGCGGCCGTAACGCGGTCTGTGAGCGACATACGCCGTTCCCGTGGATACCGATTTAAGTAATCCCCGGGATACGGGAAATTCGACTCTCCGCAACCGATGCCGCGGGATAGTATACGCCACGTCGACCTTTCGGCCCGTTCGAAGCTTAATTCACCGCGAAATACCGGACGTCCATTAGCTGGCGAGTCTGCTTTAACCGAGTCCGCCAAAACTCCACTCACGCGCGCCGGTGTTTCACGCACACGCGTGCCTATCACGCGGCGTGTATATGCGGTTCAGTAGATATGTATATACGCTCGTGCACGTTTATCACGCCATCCTACAAATTCACGGCATTGACTAACGATTCCGAGCGTTTTCTATAACGCGCCGCTACGAATTATTTCGCTAATTGAAATAAATCGGAAATAAAGTCGTGAGAAACTGTTTAAATGCTGATTTATTTTTACTTAATAGTGTTGTTAAATATTAATTTCAGTTAGATAATGACTTTTTGCAGATGTATTACAAAATTCTGCATAATTTTACAGTATTGATGTCAAATAATTTTAATATCAATAATGTAAAATTTTGATATTAAATAATTTTAATATTGCATAATTAATATTCTGTTACACACGATAATTACGTGATTTTTAATAGATCAAATAATTAATATTTATAATAAAATATAATACTTTTTACATCATTCCTCACTATATTCAGTTTTCAGTAAAAATAAAGCCAATTTTATGATATTATATTTCATTTGGTTTTCAGCTTTTACAAAATAATTTAAATTTAATACAAATGTGTCATATAATTGTTCATATTACTTTTCTTCTTCATATGTATTTATATATTTCTTATTGTAATAGTTTTCGTTTTTCTACTTATCCATATTCCTATCTATCCTATCTACTCCTATTTAGTGCACCGACTTCAGTTACGACTACAAATACAACCAATTTACAACGGAACCTACGTGCTGGCTAATCCGTTTGAATTACTGATTCACAATTTAACGGGATTAATTTGCAATTTTAATTTACGAGTGATTAGAATTTTAATTCGCGATCAATATGGGCTAATCAGATGAACAGGCTATAAAAGATTATAATTAAATTTGCTTTATATACATATATATTAGAGTATAAAAACTTTATACTCTAAAAACCTCTGTTTTAGTATAATTTATCACTCATTTTATCTCTTTTCTTATTTTTCAATATTTATTTAAGCAAACTAAGTGAACTCGAAGATTTAATTAAACCTATAAAATTTTCCTGTTATATTATCTTTTAGCTTAAATTTATAATCTTTTTTCAAACATGAAAAAATGTATGACTATGATAAATGATGAATTCAGATCTCAGTTTACTAGAATAATAATACAAACTATTTTATACTGCTACATTTGTTATTATATTGTAAATTTAACTGTTTATGTAATAATTGTCAAGGAAGAAGAGAGATTTTTAAGCCTTCTATTCGCGTTTTTAATATTTTATGCATACCTACATTCTATATAAATACACATTCAATATAATCTTCATAAATCCATTATCTCAGGATTAAAATAAAAAATAATTTAAGACTCACCGATACGTTGCGATGCATATGCGATGTGTAATCGTAGCGATGTTGTAAACGAATATTGATCTGTAACATAGAAATATATCGAAATTATAACAACGCTTAAAATAATTAAAATAAGAGATTAATTATTTCGAACGTTAAATTCAAGTTTAATTTTTAAACAGATATTTAGTAAAAGAATTATATAATATCCACAAATTCTTTTTATTTTTATCATTACATAATGAAAGCCTGTGTAACAAATAATAGATAACAACAGATGAATAACAAGTCACTCATGTCATGATTGTATTGTCAATGTCTGATGTCTCCTAATCTCTTTTTTCCCGTAGATTCTTTCATTACACTCACACAATACCTATTCGCGAAACCGTTTAATTATGATCGCGCGCGAAATTAATCCACCATAATACGACAACTGCGAGGTGCTTTTCACGGCATGACACACGATACACACTTTATTATGTGGTGAAGACCGTTAAAATAATACGAAGGGATTATAATAATTATGTTCCATTCGTAACTTGCAATATTTCATAAATTAAGAATATTACAGTGACGAATCTCGAGCGGATGAAGGCTTATGAATCACTTATGTACGAACGTGGAATTTACACGATTATTAAATATTAATTTAATTACGATTGTATACATAGAATCATTGATTCCTCAACGTATATGAGTTTACATGCACATTTCGGAGCATACGTGCATTTTCCAGATCCTCTTTGGTCTCTACATGTGTGTCCCAATAAACGACTAAATTTATTTATTGATAATCATTAATAATCTCGTGTACTTATTAAATAAACGCGTATTAATGCCGAATTAAGGCATTTATGATCTCGTGTACTTATTAAATGCGTACCAATGCTGAAATATCTACTTCGATAAAGATTTTCGTACGTTTCCATACGATAACAGTCATTAATCGCAAGAAACAATTAATCACGTTGATAATAAATTATTTGTAAAGGATCGCATTTGCATCTCCCGTACCTGTCGCGATCGCGCCTCGGAAAGTAATACAACGATACACAGAGCGGCTCGTGCCGCTAGTTGTTCGTTTGGATATCGACACACGAATGATAGCACGATGATCTTGTGTACGTATCAGCTGTAACGGCACTAACGGCGTGCTATACCTCGAAAAAACAAACACCGAAGCTGCGCGCTAGTCGAATGTTGTCGCGCCGGAGTAATAACTTTATAAAAACAAACTGAATATATATTTCATCGCCAAATATTCTATTTGTTACGTTTTACATTAATTTCAATAAAAAAAATTGGCTATTAAATCTAACGTTTATTTAAAGAATATAATTTTACCTTTAATTGGATCGACAAACTTATTTGTAGATTAATTTATTGTTAATAATTTCTTTGAATTTATATTTGATTGAAGAGTAAAGTTGTGTGTGCGATTTTAAGAAATCAAAAAATCAAAATAGAAATATTGTCAGAACTGTCTTTGAAGTGCATTATTGTCTCAATTGTAATGGCTAATTTTACTTATACAGAGTTGATGGATTAGTGATTTTATATGTACCATATATGACTAATGTATGTAGATATACCGTATATGACTAATGTGTATATAATGTATAATATAAACAGACTAATGTATGTTTTAATAAGTTATGATGAATAGACTAATGCGTGTTTGATGTTCAGAAACTTTAATCTGGATCCTTTATTCTCGTTGATAATGGAGCTTTCCAAGTGTTAACGGTAATCTATATACCGAGCACAAATGTATCTATGAGTTTTAGAATAGAATTACCATGGCATTAGCCTGCTAGAATATACGTTTTATTTTAAGCTGCAAAATACTATTTGTGCTCTACTGATTTCAACTTTCGAATTTTAATAACGTGACTAAAAGTGAAATGCTATTTACGGATTAAGTTGCTTGTATGCAGATAAATAAATCACATTATTTTTATTTACTAAATTTAAATGCACAATAATTTATCCAAATTTCGATTCGTAATTTATCAAAATGTTTCACACTTGAAAATTAAAAAATTACAATACGCTGAAATTTTTTCTAAAGAAAAATCGGCTTCAAAATCGTTAAATAATCTATCATGATCTTTTGAGTATTATGTACGTCGTTGCTCGTATTTCTAATTAAAAATTACGTGATTATTGACCGTACAAAGTCGCTCGTTAAATTCCAACACAGCGGGAGGGAGGTACTCATTGTTGACAATGAAAATTGAACAATAATGGGAAAAGCGACGTTGGTGCTTGCCGCATCTTCCCGGCTTGACGATCAAACGGCCGGTAACAAAGTTTGCCCCGCATAAACAACACAAAGGCCTATTGAACTCCACGGGGCATGGGACATTAGAGACAGTGGAACGTTTCCTCCTTGCAATTAGCCGGCTAATTGCTCGCCGTTGTGATACGGTAAGCGCATTACAACGGGGCCGCGCATCGGATGACTCTGGCGATGCATCTTCGATCTGCCGGCTGTCGTCTGTCGGTGGTGCATTCAGAGGTCCGTGCATCTCGACCTAAATACACGGGCGCCAAGTAATACAGGGAACAGTGTTGCGTTCCCTAATTATCGTATCGTAGTCAAGCGAAGTCAACCGGTGATAAAATTATCGACCGTAAGCGTATCCCTTGTCGTCGAGGTTGTTTCCGCGCTCAAAGTTCCTTTTGTTAAAATTACGAGGTGACACATTTTTAGCCATCGAAAAAAGAAACCGTATTTTGCAATTATTTGTATTTCACTTTTAATAATTACGATTCTAAAAATGTTGAATTTATATCACACTTTATTTTTACTGAAGAAAAAATATTTTTCTGCGACATTATTACTATTTGCGTGAGTTATTCAAGCTAATATAATTATTCTGAAAATTGTATACTTTTTTGAACCATTATGCAGATAATAAAAACAAGATTATGTGAAGCTATTAATTATGCGACAAATAGGAGAGAGATATTTAAAACTAATCGCTTTGCATTTTTTCAAGTATATTATTAAGGCTGTTGAAATAATGAGAATGTAGTTGAGTCCAAGATTATTCTGTTTACAAGAATAGCACGTTTACCTTTCGCAAGTCTGTTTGCCTTTCAAAAGCCATCGTATACTTGAAATTTTTATCGCAACCACCCCGCCGCGTAGGGTGAATAAGAAAAATCCTGGGGGTATTAAAAAATAAACGCATCCACCGTTTTCGATACCTATTTAGAAGCCGACCGTTGGGAAATCATACAACGAAAGTTTCCGCACCTCACTTTTTCCGTGAAATTATGGAGTATCGGTGTACGAGGTTTTGCACTTTAACTACCAGCGTAGCAGCGCGCCGCCGCTCCATTTATTTTACCATCGATAACGTCGATTCGCCGCCATTTGCCACTTTTACATCGAAACCGTATTATTGTGACAGGTTTTGCTACCTTTCCGATAGTTGTGACAAGCGGCTTAATACGCGAAATTCGATGCTGCAATTTTAAGTGAGTCGCGGCAATAGCTGTCCGCAATTAAATGAGAGACGTCATTCAGTTTTATTCCTTACAATTCAAGCGCGCTTTTCTAGAATTGCATCTTGCATGACACAAAACTAGAATAGACTTAATCAATACGAACTTTAAACAAGTATTTCGATTTAATGGAAACTGTTCTACCTTTTTCTTTTTCATTAAATTTACGCGCTTATATCTTATACCCGAACAAAGAGAATATGAATATAAAATGTAAACTGAAATTTTTCAATTAAACTAAAATTCGCAGACGAGTGGAAGAGCACAAAGGATAATAATCTGGTTTCTATTTTTAATAAGTGAATAAAATACTAAAGTAAACAGAAAAATTAAACAAACGGGACGATGGCACAAATATGATGGAAGAATCTTTCTTCTTTTAACGCTTTTCCGTTTCATCCTGATAATAGAACAACGTTGTCAAAACGGGTTCGCCATTATCTACATTGAAGTAAAAAATCATACCGTTAATGGTATTAAATCATTAAATACGACGGTAACCGTAGAATTTTATGCGATTTATCGTTTGAGATACTGAAGACTGAAGGACATATTCACCCTCGGAAAGTTGAACGGGATTAAAATGAAATATTTGGAATACACGTTGGGCTGTTTATTAAGCTTATCCTGAAGAAAGAAGGGGGAGCATTTGTGACGCGAGCTTATCCCTAAGAGTCCATTTCACATCGTGAAATATAATCGCTGTAATCCATGATGGCGTAAACAGTAATTATTCCTTTGAAAAGGACTCGTGTCCTTCATAATCCTCCCTTGTAGCCCTCACACGGATGTTGTAATTCTACCAGAAGATCGCAATATCCACGATCATAGTTCTACAAAATGCTGACGGTAACCCTCTTAATTAATTGAGCAAACGTTACACGGTGTAATGTCGTGTATTTAATTCTAAAGTGTATTTAATTATAAATGTGACATTCCTATTTTCTGTTATTCGAATACGAACGACCCAGTTCACGGAATGCATTATGTTACATTGAAATAAAAAGTCAAGCATTAGAATATTAAATATTAAAATATTACTAGAGTATTAAACAGTTCTCGCTATTGCTGGAAAATCACGCGAAGCGTGTACTTTAAACTTTAGATACGATTATCAGGTTAGATAGATCATAACGTTTGCAATGGTAGGTATCTCAAGATTAAAGCAGCAGCATATAGAGATATGAAATAGCTGTCACGACGGTTTGTAGTTAGGAAGAATTAGAACGAAGACGTTTGCTCTGCGACAAGCGACGCGCAATGTTCGAGCGAAAAAATTACGACGATCTTTGATCGAACTTGTCGTTCTTTTATCCTCCCGTTATATAGAATAGAACGATCTTGTTCCACGTCACGTTCACTTTTCCACGAGCCATCCTCTCGATACAGAGGTTTCACCCACAGGTTTCACTCCATTCATCTCGCCAATTTGTAAAGCCAACGGTATTAATCACGAGATCAAACGACGATTTAGGACGACTTTCTTCAATGCCTCTCTACGCCCCGCCCGTCTCAACGTCCAAGGAAGGCGAGTTTGGCTTTAAAGCTTAATCCCTTAAGAG